AAATTTTCCCTGCATTTATATCTTACCAGTTCAGTTAAGAAAGCAATCGAGTCTCAAATCTCAGACGGGAGGGAAAGCAGCGAAGCTCTTGAGCGAATTGCTTTAGATTGCGTTCAGACCTTCAAATCCGACCCTCGGTACCAAAATGACGCCAGATTTCTCCAGATTTGGTTTATCTATGTAATGAATCGTCAATATTTTAGGTTTTCGGTTTATGTACGTGTGCAAAACATGAATTCTTGTGGATTTGACGTGGTGCAGATGGAATTCAGTTCAGATTATGACAGCGTTTTCCGAGAAATGTTGCAGTATAAGATTTGTTTATCAAATAGTATGCTTTATGAGAAGTATGCACTGCTTCTGGAAGCGAACTGCAGGCTGACTGATGCTTTAATGGTTTACCACTTGGGCATTTCAAGGTTTGGTCTTCCCCAAGGACTTTAACATTCTATAACTAGGCACATACCAGTCTACCACCCCTGTACACGCTAGTATTTTGTTGAGGCGAACTGATGGCTCATTTGGTTTCAGGAATGCAGAGCCACTAGGCAGGTTGAAGAAGGCTCAAGTTTTGTTTCTTGAAAGAGTGTCTGAGTATAGCATGACAACTAGTTCATTCCAGAAGGTATTTTTATGCATTTGTAGTTTTTCTAGATGATTGCGCAATGTTGTTTCTTCTATGCAGCATACATTATTTGTGAGTCAAATACCTGAAATAGGTGTTTGGCAAAAGATAGCTTGGCAAATATCTAACATGCAAAACCGGTACATTCTGGGATTGAAAAGGATGAGAGTAGACACTGATAAAGCTTACATCCCTGTTGTCTAAACCATTTGTAGTATCGGTTTATGACTTGCAATCATATGCTTTATTTAATGGATTTATGATCTGGTGGCTGAAGTAGTTGGATTTAGTCTTTGCTAGTACTCCACACAGTGCATCTTTCTACTCTTCTTTGCAAACTGTTTGCCACAAGAGTCATTATAGCCATGTTTTTTATGCTGCCACAAGAGTCATTATTGCATATGCTTTTATATATCTTAAATCAGAAACAACCGCTCTACCTTTTCTAGGTAGGGGTAAGGCCTGCGTACACCCACTCCCAAACCACATTTGTGGGATTTTACTAGGTTGGTTGTTGTAGATGATATTAAATCCATCCATAGTTAGTATTGGAATTCACTCAAGTTCTATGCATTTTCAAGTAGTATTTGTACAATTCTGCAATTTGTGAATAATCCACTTTGTTTGTCCTAACACATGCTGTATAGTTGATATTTCTGTGGGAGCAAGTATAAGGTTCTAAAGGTAGATTTCTCTGCTAATTCTCTATGCAGGTGGTCACTCAATCAGGAAATGGTGGAACTCGTGTCAACCCATGGCTGATTTCAGCCATTAAGGATCTACTAAAAAAGCTGAACCCTCAGATGTTAAAATATGATGTGAGACATTAATTTTATTTATATCCTGGGGGTCTTTGGGAAACAGTATCTCTACCTTGTCTAGGTAGGGATAAGGTCTGCATACCCTTCCAATCTGCATAAACCCTATTTGTGGGACTCTACTGAGTTGTATTTTCTGATAAGTTATCATATTTTATTTTTGTATAAACTTCTACTCTTAATGGAAGATATAATTTTATCAGGGGTACCATCCAAACAAAAAAGCTTATCCTGGAAAGGTGTCATTATCTACTTTGCTTAAATCAGGCAGGAATACAAAGATTGATTTAGGTAATTACTCATTGATGTTTCACTTCAAATATGTAGAGCTCTTTAATTTCTTATTAATGAGGAAAGTAATATCTAAACATTCTGATGTACAGCCTCAATTTTGAAAAGAAAGATTTGTATTTAGTACTATGTGTAAAATATTCAAAAGGATCATATATTATAGCAACCTCTGAATTTTTGTGAATATACTCATGTATCATTTCAAATACTTGCAGGTGGTTTTACGTACCTAATTAAAGGCTGTGCCGGTAAGGGTGGATTTGCACAAGTATTCAAAGCATACTTTGACAGTAATCCGGATGAGATTGTTGCACTTAAGGTAATCAAATTGCTAGTATTAGATTTCCCTAATGCAATTGGCCTGAAAACCAGATCTTGTTGTTTTGATTGCCATATTCCTTGAACTTACAACAGATTCAAAAACCTGCATTCCCATGGGAATTCTACATGTATCGTCAACTAGACTTACGGATTCCACAAAATGAGGTACTGCTTTTGAAGCTAGACTAATTGTGCGTGTTTTGTTTTACTTAGTTCTTTCAACTTATGTTTCTTTTCCATAAGAGGTCGAGTTTTGGCTTTGCCCATCGGATGCATCTTTATTCAGACTACAGCATACTTGTGTCTGATTTTGTGGCTAATGGTACTCTCCAGGTTGGTATTTTTTGTTCTTGCATTTGTTAAATTCTTGTATTTGAACGCTCAATACTTCCCTTCTTCATTGAGTGTAATTATGGTTCTTGGCAGGATGCCATAAACGCTAATGCTGCAATAGGAGGTTCCATGGAAGAACTCTTATGCATTTATTACACCATAGAGATGCTATGCATGTTGGAAAGTCTGCATGGTGCTGCAATTATCCATGGTGACTTCAAACCTGATAATCTGCTTGTTCGTTATGCAAGGTACCCATAGTCTGTACACTTCCATTACAGTGAATTAAAACATAATGAATTTCAATAGGGAAGCAAAATGGAAGGCATAGATTTGACCATATTCTGTAGTTGATTGTACAATAAAGAACTCTTCTTTATCATTTTGTATATGGGTAGATACTTTCTGGTGGTTTTAGAGAACTAATGCCACATCTTTCAAATAATGTGATCAAGAGATGTCTGTCCTTTTTTGTCAGGGATAATCTAACAGAAGATGTTGAGGCATTTCGTAACCGCACTGGTCCATGGCGCGGCCAGGTAAATCGTGACTTAGTCATTTTATACCAGATGAAATCGGTGTTGAATGCTCTTTTTTTGCAAAGTACGGGGTACTGGTTTTTTTGTCATCAGCTGTATCTTCTTCCAGGGACTGTGCCTCGTTGACTGGGGTAGGGGAATAGATATGAGCCTCTTTCCTGAGAAGACACAGTTTATAGGGGACTGTAGAACTTCTGGATTTCGCTGCATTGAAATGCAGGAGAGCAAGCCTTGGACATTTCAGGCAAGTAAATTCTCTACAGAAAATGGAAACTTTAGGACTTCATAAAAAGGCTGACTTCTCTTTAAACATCACTGGTGGACAACAACAGGTGGATACATATGGCCTATGCGTGATTGTTCATATGATGCTTTTCGGTTCCTATATGGAAATCGAGAAAAGGACAACACGCGGGGGAACCTACATCTACCAGCCCAAATCACACCTCAAACGGTACAAGACTATAAGTTTCTTTATCCTTTATCTTCAATTGTCTTGTCTTTCGTCGTCCTAGACCACTTCCTACTCTTTCAGGTACTGGAATACTAAACTGTGGGAAAGCTTGTTTACCAAGTGTCTGAATTCAGAACCAAACGAAGATCAGGTGGCTGTGTTGAAGGACCTGAGACATGCATTTCAAGATTATATCTGCACAGATCCTCAGTTGCTGAGAAAGCTTAGGCAATTGTTACAGAAGCAAAAGACATCGTTACACTAGCCGATTCAGATGTGCTTAGAAGTTTCAATCACTAGGATTTTCAGAATTGCAGATAAGACAACCTCAACTCCTACTACACTCATTCTAGTATAATTGGTTCTTAGGTCCCTGCTTGAGCCCGGTTGTGGTTCTTCGTATTCTTGACACGCCCGAATCATCTTTCACATAATTGAATCTACATTGTGTTCTGACTCAATAGTATATTTCAGATTTGCTGTCATATATTACAAGATGAGAAGTATTACATTGTCAAGTATTTTCAACATTCAAAAGTAATGCAGGCAGAGAGTGTTGGAATGTCTTGTCATATTATTTATCCGTAGTAACTATAAATTGTTATCCGCTACAAATTGCTACGGGTATAATATGAAAGCAATATTTGTCGGGTATGGTACTAAACGTCGATGGTTTTCGGATTACGGTACCATTATTAGAATTCCATTAATAGCTCATTTTTTGAATCTGTATTTCTCTTTTTTATCATGAGAGCATTGAAACAATTATCATTGTGATGGAGATTGATGAAGATGGATTTATATTTTGGTTCTGGACAATCAAGCGGGATCTGAGTATACCAAACCAATTCTCATCAAATGGTCTTTTATATATGTCCAATGCCCGATTTTTCATAGTCATGAACTTCACACTCTTATGACTAAGAGGTGTCACTTCATCACACTTATTAGATGATTCAGTACTCTTAACAACACAATCAATTACCATTGAATTTCAAAATCAATTTTTGTAATAAGCATAATGCATGATTTTTTGAGGTTAAGACCAAAGACATAAAGCTTAACATTAGAATCGTGAAGGAAAAGAAAAAAAGGTGACTTTTCTCATTCTCCTCATAAAAAAGTAGGAATTTTATGTTTCATCTTCTTAACTTATTTTTTCTTCTCATTTTCTTTTATATTAAGCATCCTAGAAAATAATGTTCTTAGAAAATTATTTTTCAAGTAAAATAATTGCCAAGGAAAATTATTTTCCCACTGTAACGTAAGAAGTAAACTTTTTTCCAAAAAAAAAAAATCTGTTCTTAATATTTGACAATTCATGTACTCCGTATTTAAAAGCATACTTTAAGATAGTTTAATTACCAATATTTTAGCAACATGAAATGGTAGTGGGCACAGCTTGCAGGGGACATGGTGGGGGTGAGTGGAGAGGGGCAAGTGCCCAAGGTGAGACAAAAAAGATCTTTGGACAATTAACAGCAATTAACATCATAGTAATAATCAAAACAAAGCCATGAAGAAAAAGAAATGCCATTTTTTTTGTGTGGGGGAAATGAAGACGATTTGTATCCGACTAAAATTAGGTAATTAGCATGAATAAAGAGAGAATTATTTGATTTAATCTTGAATCTTTAATCTTTAATGTGTAATGTAATAATGTTACATTGTATATGGTTCGTCGACGAGGAATCTATAACCATTCTTGATGGCACTGCCGAAGTAGCATTCTTCTCAACAAAAGTAAACCAAAAACATACATCCCAATCTCTACGTTAGTTTAGTTCGGGCGTCTAATCAATAGCGCGGTTCAGCATAATTACATTCATCCTGGGGAACAAAGCACAATCACATAAAAGAAAATGGGAAAAATTCATGTCAATACTCTTAGAAAGAAATTTGAGATTTTACAAGAACACTCCAAGATCAAATATTCATCACACAACGCTCCCAAAAATTCAATTTTTCTAGGCCTGTATGTGATCAATATGCAATCTTTAAGCATTATTGTAGAAATATAATGTTTCTCGAAGTGCTAGTGATGATTATATAATCTATAAGTGTTTTGTAGAATCACGAATTTCTGGGAGTTATGACATGAATTCTGCTCAAGAAAATGTCAACCATAAAAATAGTGCACATCTGGAAGGTTAATTCAGTAATTGTGTAAGAACTTGCGTAAAGGCGAATTACCTTTGAGTGTGGCCAATGTTTGAGCAAAGTTGAATCAATACACATAAGCATATACTTTGTGTTAAGCTGGAGGAAGAGGTCGCCTGCAAGTTGGGCACTCCATCTTTATGTCCATCCATCTTTGTAAACAGCCCGAATGAAAGTAATGGTCACACGGCGTCACCTGAACAAAGAAAGTACTTAGTTTCAAGTTAAAAACTAAAAAGAAGATTCTGTGACAGAAAAAAGAATGTAATATGATATGATCTGTCGCAGTACCATGCAATCGTTGGATCGTTGACTTAGGTCAATGGAAGTCATACAAATGACGCAATCAATCGGCGGAATTGCATCTGGATCAAGCTTTCTATAATAGCTGTACTTTTCAGGTAAAATCTACAATGTCAATGAGATCACGTAGATTGCATAAGATTGGTTCCATTGTTTGATATTCTTTTCTTGTGAGTATATGAACATGTGATTACTCCCTCCGTCCCAAAAATGGAGTTTATGCTTTACATTCTTTAAGTCCCAAAATGAAGTTAACGCTTGTTCTTTTTCCCTTTTTAGGAAATGAATATGTAACTCTTATAATTTCTCAATCTTCTAAATAAACTTCAACCATACCCCTTAAACCCATGTTTGGTTCAAGGAATTTGGAAGGAAAAGAAAAAAGAAATAATTTTCGCTCATTTTCCTCACCAAAAATGAGAGAAATTCTATTTTCCCTCTTGTTTTCCAAAATGGTGAGCAGTTTCCTCACCAAAAGAAAATAGTACTCCCATTTTCCTAACAAACAATTTCTTTCTAATTTTCTTTTATTTCTACTTTTCTTTCCCTCTAACCAAACAAGAAAAATTATTTTCCATCTCATTTTTTCCTTTCCCTTTCAAATTTCTTGAACCAAATATAGTGTTAAACTCCATGAAGTCAAAGTGTAAACTTCATTTTGGGACAATTTACGGGGAATGACAATAATGTCCCCAACCTGGCGAGGAATGAAGCACCTAGATCCAAGATAGTGTTGCAGAAGAAGAATTGAGGCCTGAATTCCCATAAAAGTGCCCAAGAAAACACACCATTTCTTGTTGGTGCCTATGCGCATGAAATTGTGAGGACACCCAAATATATACAATGGGATTGCGAGACGAGTAATAGTCATCCCCAAGATGTAATGAGGATGCAGTGGTTTTCTTGAGTCACGGATGACATTAGTTAAAATTTGAGGGATCCAAAAAGAGTGTAAAAGCAGAAGAATTGTCCGTAGAAACTTGTGAAACTCGTACATGAACAATATGCCACCCAGAAGTATGCCATCTGCAAAATACTACATTTCTTGAGGAACACAAGGAATAATTACTACAGAAGATTTTAGCTAGAAAGTAGAAACTGAAAAATACCATTTAACTAATAACTTACAGAAACGGCTGTACAGAACTGACAATTCACGTCTCATTGCTTCCCAACCCTCTCCATTGTTCATGGGTCTACTTGCTTTCCAGATAGCAAGGAGGTATCGCATCTCAAAAATTGAGAAAACCACAAACTTGAAGAATGCAGCAGTTGCAAAAGCATTGAAGAGGGACTCTAAGAGCCAGTACACACCAGATTTTATATTAAAACGAAATTGTTATACTACTTAGATGAATAATGATTATTTACAGACTAGAACTTACCAACTAGTATCCCTGCAGTCAGATGCAAAAGACACAGGTAAGCATCCATGATAGCCTGTTGCCCAATCATCAAAATTGAAACTTTGGCAGCCCCCTTTGAAAAAAAGGATGGCAAGCATTAACCAACTTTTAAGGAAAGAATTATTATACTGCAAAAAGAAGTCATTATTATCCTTACTGATTGAGTGTTACTATGTTCCATTTGCCTAATTAGCAATAGAACTTGAAGGAATGATATCTGTTCTGAAGTTAAAGAATCCATCCAAGCACACTAAACACGACCACAATAATTAACAATATTACCAAAAAAAAATGTTGAAGGATACAAAGGTGACCATCAGTGTGTAGTTCACTGCTTTATTGTAGTAAACCTCAATATTGATAGAAGAAGCATTCAATAGGATTGGAGAGAAGCAATCTCCATCATCGTTTACTGAAGGGCTTTCCATTAATCCCTCTAGATGATATTTATCATTATCTCCATCTGTGATTTAAAAAAATTGCAATAGCATAGCCCAAGAAATTGAGAAATTAGAGATAAAAGTTATATGCTCAAGAAGCACTTCCACAAGCCAATGAAATTTGGAGTAGCGTTTTGTCAATGCTTAATTTTGCAGGGGAATGGCGATGGAATCTGGAGTATGAAAGAACCAAAGGACCAATAGATGGAATATATTCTATTAAAGTCTATTAGATTCTGAAATAGACAAGGAAACTATACGTATGGGAGAAACAAATAATACACATTTTAAGAGCTGAAATACCATTTTGGGCGGATGAGACTCGGGAAACTTGTGCAGCAATTTCAATGTTACAATGCTTTCCCACTTCATAAACTGGCGCTGTAAAAATAGATATGTCAACCATTTTAAACATGTAGTTGAAAGTTAAAAAAAACATTGTTGCAAGACCAAGAAGAAAAGTTACAGTGTTTCCTTTTCCAAATTTTATCGCGAGGAGATTCCTGAAACACCTGGGATGAAAAAACTCCAAGCTGTTTAAAGACCATGCACGAGCCAGTTTAGTGTCAGGTCAAAGATCTTCATATATAATCAATATATGTAACAGTGAATTTGAACTGCACGCACAAGGTTAGTAAGTACGTAGTACTAATTACTAATGACTAGATAAATATTAAGCTCCTTGCACACAAGATTGAATACATAAATTTATATTCCGTATTAGAAAAATGAAGGGTATGCCTGGTTTTACATTAGATAATGTGTAAAAAGATTTATATGTATGTTTAGACTACTTTGTTTCCATCATCTTCGAAAGATTCAATATTTTTTGGCTTTGGGGTATGATGGAATAAAGCAAAATGACTCTTAAAGTTGTCTGGCACTTCTTTCAATACTGAAGTAGCAGTTGTTGTAGTTTAGACTACTTAGTCTTAATATAAAAGATAGAAAGAAACAAAATGAGTTTTAACATATACCAAAAGTGTAATGTTTATGTTCCGGACATTTTATTTCCCTTTGAATTCCTTCTGCATTTTCCTCCCTATTTTCTTTACCATGCATTTTATGACTTCCAAACTGGACCCCAAATGAATTTCAACCAGAAAAAGTGCATTGGTATCCATGTCACTTGAAGGCGTGTTTTTCCATTACCAACACACTAATATTGCAAAAGCTACTTAAAAATAATCAGAAACATATGTTCTTGAAAACACTAAGAATGGGATGGTATATCAAAGCATTTACCAGGTGATAAGGATTTGACGTGAGATACTCCTCTTCATGGCTGAACTCACCCTCTTTGCCACTGCAAATGAAAAGTAAATAGATTAGGGATGCATTCAGAACCTGGATAATGATAGGGAGAGTAAATAGAGGAAAATGTGTGTGAAATGTGTTATAAGAGATGTGATGGAAAATATGGCATTTGTTCAAATTTATTTTATTTGTTTATTAGATAAAGACTACGAAATCTAAACAATCTCTAAAGAATTTGAGTATTCCAAATATTAAATGCATATGAAGTATCATTTCCGTTTGCAATCTACACAATACAACCAAACACAAGAAGATAGAGTGACTATTTCCCCTTTCCCTAGCACTTTGTGGTATCCAAACACACCCTACGAATAAGAGAATACCTGTAAGCTACCAATCGTAGTTGTCTGAAGGGCCATATGTATACACCTTCTATGCGGATTTGAGCACCAGCAACTTCATTTTCATTATCAAAAACATCATGGAAAACCATCACCCCCTGTCCAATATAAATTTACACAAATTTAAATATGTGATTCAGCCAAGAAGTATCCTTAGTGATGAAGAAAGGCAATGTGCTCCTCATCAAGAGCTACTACCTACTAGCGACACATTACAGTATACTTCATATATTTTTTGTTACATAAGCAACAACTTAAAAATGAACATATCAAAATGGAAAAACAAAATGACAAATGATCAAATCATTTTTTGGCAACCGTCAATGTTACTAATAAGAGAAAAAATATACTCCCTCAGTCTCCATATAAACTTTACACTTTCCTTTTCTAAATAAAAACTTGACACTTCTCCACTTTCTCTTTTAGGAAACAAATGTTGATATCATTGATTCTCTCTCTTCCAAATTAATTTAAACCACTCACTTATCACTTTACAGTTTACACCAACTTTTCAACACATTTCTTAATGTCTGTGAAGTTAATGTGTCAAGTTTAGTTGGAGACAGAGGCCGGAGGGAGTCAAAAGAAAACTAAAAGATACACATAATTCCATGTTCATGACTCATTACAACCACCAGCCAAGCATAAGAATCATATTATTACCTGAATATAGTGCACACCGGTTATTTTTGTCGGTGTACTTATCAATTCAAGGACAGAATTGCCATTGGATTTCCTAAAATCAGGAAACCTGGTGGTCATATTTGCGGAATCTAAGAACCTCCATGATCCTGCGTGAAAAAAATGGCCAGGAGGACATGGTAAAATGCTAAAATTTCCAATAAAATTGGGAGGCAATTAGGTTATGCAAGGAAACTTCAACATTTGCTTTTTCTCATGCTGCTTCAACTACCACTTAACAAACCTATGATAGTGGTACAAATGCTGAGATGTTTACAAACCTCTATATGTCCCTGAAATATTCCAAGAAGAAAAGGGGGCCATTTGATTGTCGTCCTTTCTGACAAAAAGCCACTGCAAGAATCAACAGCATTGGAAGTATTAAACATCTGAACTTCTTTTCTTCTTCACAAGCCAAAATAAGGATACCAATTTAGTCAGTGAAAATGAAGATCTTTAGAAGTTGTTGTGCTGGTAGATACTTAGACGGTAGTGATCTACAAAGTGGGAAATTTATTCAGCTTATTTTCATCATTCTATCTGCAATTTTCTGCTATTGTAGTGCCAACCAAAGTTGGTATTCATAGATCACTAAAATGGAAAAACCACTACCACCACCACCCCACCACCCCGTATCCTGTTTTTTGGCTAGTTCAAGAAATCTAAGGTTTTCAGATCACTATTCCATTACGTCATAAAATGATAGAAAATGGTAACAAACCATCCAATCTGAAGCCCTCTACTTTTCTCTGGACTCCTTTCTTGATAAATTAACTCAAAAACTAGCACTACTGGAAAATTGTGTCGTATACCATATCCAAACATGAAGTGATGAACACTCATCACAACAGAATAGGGCGGAAATTTCATAAGATTAACAGTACAAAAATCACAAATTCAATGTCTGCAATAAATTAATATTATTTGCAAATCCTCAAAAGCTATTGAATCTTAAACTCGTATTGCTCTGGGTAAGACACATTCAACAAGATTAGTACCGGAAAACTAATTTTAACTTTTGACAACGTAAACCCTTTCAAAGGTCTCCCAAGGTGTTGTATATGCTCAACAAAGAATCCCATGAAAGTAGGATCTGTGGAGGGTGTGTGTGTACCTTACCCCTACTACTTGAAAGTGGAGAGGCAAGGTGTTATATATGCTCAACTCCACAAATATCTTTTCATAAAGTGCTAAGCCTGATCATTACCACAAAGCAAAAAACATAAAAATGCACACTCCCTATACTTAAACACCCCAAATATCAAGTGATCGCACAAAAAACTATTATTATTAATACTATATTCAAAAGTATCTTAATATCACTTAACATTTCCCAGTCACCATTCCTGGAATTGATCAAAACTAAACAGCAGTGCAAACATTTTGCCAAAAAACAATAACTGAACGAATTACACGCCAGATTGAATGTAAGTATGAAGGGGAAAAAACTGATATAACTATGAAAAAGAATGAAATTTGATGCTAACCTCGTCACCCCAGGACTGATACACCTCCCTTAAAGGTCTGAGGGAAACCACCGGACAGAAAAACAAAGACACAAAACACAAACCGAAAATGATTCTCAGCAAAATCCCCCCTCGATTTCCTCTGCCCACGCACGAAAGATCCAATCTTTTCAAGACCCCCATTTCAGAAAAAACCCAGTCCCAGAGCTTCTCTTCCACCAAAAATTAAAGCTTTTGAGGATAGTGTATGTAGAAGATAATTGTAGTGAGAGGAAATATTGGTTTCTTGGAAAGAAGTCAAAATTGGAGCTAGCGACCCAGCAACACCCGAATCAAGAGAGTGAGAGCTCAACTACTGGTATTAAAGAACCCGCAGAGGCTTCTTCTTCAACGAAACAGACAGGACCGGCGCAGTTCTGATTTCGAGCCGGAAAATCATTTGTGCTCGAGGTTTCTTGAGAACAGTTTGTGAATTATCAATGGGAAGGTGTTGAAAGAGTTGGTGGGCGAAATACAGTAATTTCCTCTCTAGACGTTTTGTTATTGTGGTGGAAGAGCACAAATGGCGTTTTGGGATTCCCTCCCTTTCCTCGTGCAGGTAAAATTGGAGCCTGGGTAGAAAAAGGACAGAAAATAATTCAATCAGCAGTGGTTAGAAACGTAATTTGGGCGTTCTAAAGGTTGTTCCTAGAAATACATGGACTTCCAAATTTGAGCAAAACATAAAATGCCGAGGCAAATTCGAAATATTAGAAAGAGTAAATATAATTGATCCTTTAAAATAAGAGTTTCCGTATTTGGTCCTCTATTATCAAATATTACCCTTGTAGTCCTTTTTTAAAGATGTCTTTCTACAAATAATCTTTTTTATCTTCCACAATGTGGGTGTTAATTTAAAGGTTAAAAGTATAATTTGACATCAACACTATGTCTAGTGACGTGTTCTGATATTGGTTAAGCAGATAACACAAAAATAATGACTATGATTGTGGGCTATGATTTCAACGGAAAACCACATTTGCAGACTATGGTTGTACTAGAAAGTAAATGTAATTCACAAACGACGTAAACGGAACAATCTTTGGAATTGGGTATGACAAAAACGATATATTATCATTGTGAAATTACATTTTTGGCCCTCAAATTAACACCAACATGATAGAAGATCAAAAAAGGACTATTTGTGGAAAGATACACATAAAAGAAAGACCACGGGAATAATATTTAATAATAGAGAAGTAAATACGGAAATCCCCATATTATAAAGGACCAGTTATAGAATTTACTCTATAAAGAAATACTGTTAATTTTTTGAAAAAAAATGAAGGCTCCTCTACGTACATGACTATGGTGTACTTAGAGACCCATCGAGATACTTTAGACTCATCGGAAGAACTCTCATCCTCAGAATTATCAATGTATGTTGGATTGTCGAGGTCGCTTTCGTCATTCATGTCTTGTGGCGTGTTCGACAACCCCGCCTCATCCCATGAAAAATGATGTCCCCCCATTGTTAATTGTTGTTCTTGGTGGTGGTCGTGTTGTTCTTCCTCCATTTCTTCTTTTTGTGATGCGACTATTTCTTCCTCACCCGGAACTTGACTTTCAATTTTGAGTACCTATAGGTAAACCCTTAAGTCCATTGTATTGTTTGGTTGTCTTTTGAACGAAACACCTCCATGTTCGTTCTTCAGAAATGGGGAAAGAACATGATGCGGCATATCATACACTCCATCTTTGTATTTGAGATATTTCTCCCAAATTTTTCTGATTGAATTCAGATTATTCACTAATAGCATCGAGGAGTTTATTGAAGACCTCTTCGAATGACACATCAAGATCAAAGAAAAATACTTTGTTTGAATGCAATGAGTACTCAACCTCATTATTCTCGATTATGAACTCACCATTCCAATGGGCTAGAAGGATAAAGCTATGATCAGAAGCCATTTTTGAAAATGTAAGGAGTAATGAGTGAGTAGATAAGTAAGAGTGTATTTGAAGAAATTTGGTGGTGGCATTGTGATAGATAAATCCTAAATATATAGTGGATGAGTCAAGATATTTTATTTAGTTCAAGTGTGAGAACTTATTATGTTAGGTGGGGAGATTCATTATGTTACGTTGAGAAAGTTATTGTGTTAGACGAGGGGATTATTATGTTAGGTAAAGAGATTTATTGTGTTAGGTGGCGTGATTTATGAAATTTAAGAGAATGTGTTTTCATGTTGACTTTTCAAAAATGCCAATGGTTGTGATAGATAAAAATAGATGTGATGAGTAGATTGGTAATGAAAAGTGTGATGTGATATGTTGGTTAAGAATTAGTAGAGGTAAAAGTGACTTTTTAATATAAATGAGAAATTTCTTTAGACGGACAAAAGAAAAGGAAAAAGATTTTACGAGACGGATGTAGTATAAAAATATGATAGTTTTTTAACTTTATTTTAAAATGAATCTATTTATATTCACTTTATATCATATATAGCTCAATATTTTTTATATATTTTATGGTTAAAATTAAAAACTTTTAACAAAGAAAAAATAAAGAAAAAGATGATTTTAAGAGGCAGGAGGGTTTTTTTATCAACACCAAGCAAAGATAGTATGTATTGTAGAGGGAGGGAGATCGAATTGAGTACGTGCATGTACCCGAAGCATTTTAGTTCATTATAGACTTATAGTGCTGGTGTCGGGTTCTAAATATTTACCACATTTCAAAAAATGAGATAAAATATCAAGGTTTTTTAAAATTTGTTTTATTTAAATATTTTTATTGAAATAAAAAATAAAATTTACATATTTAAAAAATTACATGAAAAATTCATTAAAATAAGAGATGCCAAGAATATTTCATTAAATCAAATGCTCCCTCGGTCCACCTAATAAGTTCTTCCCGTTACGCGTTACGAGGCTTAGACCGACTTTATTTTATTTTCAATTCAATTTAATTGATTATAAGAGTAAAATTTTAAAATAAATTTTATATAGTAATAAACTACTATACATGAAAAGTTCTACAAAACTAGAGGTGACAAGACTATATTATTTTATGAAATGACTAGTAAAAATGAGCAAACAAAGTGAGGAAAGTTTGACTTTGTAAATAGTGTCTGGGAAGATCTATGGTGGATAGAGGGAGTAACAATCAATGAAAACGTACAAATAAAAAAATTCATAATTGTTGAAAAAAAGAGAAATTTGCACTAAATAGGACTAAAACATACTCCAATGTAGGGCATGAACGTTTTTATTTCATAAATAGGAATTAATAATGTCTAGATCCAGCAGATCCCTTTGCCAAGATCCCGGGGTACATTAAAAAAACTCCTCGGATGATGAAGGTGCCAAGACTCCGCGCAAAAAACGAAACATAAAGTTTTTTAGGGACAGGTGAAGTAAAATAATGAATGAAGATAAAATAAATAAATAAATTCTTCTTCTTCTTCTTTTGTACTTTTTTATACAAATACCACTAGTTATTATTATTACTTCATATTTTATTCATCTTATTTTTCTCAAGTCCTCTTGTTTTCTCGATTTACGTGACCAACTTCACCGTGGGTCAACTTCACCGTGGGTCTAACACCAAATGCTCCCATTATGATCTTGGAGACCCCGACATATCTGGTACCCACGTCTAAAACGAAGATGGACTTTCCAGGGTCAGCATATGAAGAAGCTTTCCTGACGACTCCACTGGTCCGGCACCGGCTTTCTTGCCGGCGAAAATCTCGTAAAGGCTCGGGCGACTGCAAAAAAATCGATTTGTTTAGACAAGTGACATGTATATAAGATTTTGTTGTTGTTACTAGCTAGAAACGCCATGCATGAAGAAGTAGAAGAAGAAGGAATTAAACCGAACCTGCTTGCGACAACAACATGTTCAGAATGCTCTGTATTTGGACCTGGATTCGGAGGGGCAACACGACTCTGCGCGCGGGTGATGGCGGAATAAGCAGCTCGGGCGGAATTCTTCCCCGAAGCAAAGAGAAGCCTCCTTGCAATCATCATTGTGGCCGAGAAACACGGGTCTGTTGCGAGTTGGTATTCAAACAAAATTAGATTTATTTTTCAAATAATTAATCCCCCTCCAAATAATAAATATAGTAAAAGATGTAATAACCCTTTCAAGAAACGTAATTACCCTTTCAAGAAACGTAATAACCCTAAAATTAAGTAATCATCTATCACGAAGTAAAAAAATTCCCAAAACCCATAAGAGAGCACTAAAAATGTGACCTCATTTTATCTAACACCTGTCTTCTTAATTTGTTCACTAGCTAGTATAGATGGTGTGTTTGAATCCAAATTTGAAAATGCATGCATCTTCATATGGTTTGATGTGTCCTCTTTTCTAGCTAAACAAGGACACACTTTAATTTGGTAGCTAATATTGAAGCTCCACAAATGTTATTGGCGCTCCACTTTACCTTTTTATTATCAAAATTTTACCATCTTGCCCCTCTCCTAATGATTCCTATTGCAAATGCCGTGAAAAAATACTCCTCAAACGCTTATGCCTTTTTTTAAAAATTCTACACTCATTCTCTTTGTTTAGAACATACCTATTTTGCTATAATATACTCCCTCCGTCCCCAATTTGATTACAAATTGCGGGTTACGGAATAAAATTTCCTACTTTTTGAAATAATTTTATTTACAAATTAGTATACCAATAAGATATAAAAATTACATATTAAAAAACTACGTCAAAAGTTTTACAAAACAAGAGGTGACAAGAATATTTTATTTTATCAAATACTTAATGAAGTCGCGTAAACAAACAAAAGTTATCGAGAGAAGAGAGAAAAAAATTGTAATCTATTTCGGAACGGAAAGAGTACAAAAAATCACCCTAAATAGGAGATAAAACATAAAGAAAGTACATAAATACAGCCTACTGCCCACATGTTTTATCTCTAAAATAGGAGCTTGCATTGAGATAATGTGGCACTGGCCTGACACTCAATATGGACATTTCACAGTTCTTTTTGGTAATGTAAATGATCATGATTGACACTATAAATGTATTTTAACTCTTATTTCGAAAATAAAAACATGGAACTTCTATTTTGTTATATTTTCAATATTTTATTCCTATTTTATTCTTTTTTTACATGTACAACAAAAGTCCATAAATAAAAACAAAAACCTATAAAAAAATTAATGCGGGCATAGTTAGGTGATATACAAATGATATGGTTTAATATGAAATTGAAACTCTGAAGAGATTATCAATATTGCAATAAAACAAAGAAGACGCAACAAATTGTTGACATTCCTTCTTATCAGTATACATCTAGAGAAGAGGAGAAATTTAGAATTGGGGCTTAAAACCCAATTTAGACTAGGTAGCCCAAACCCATGTAATCTGGCACAATCGTGGTGCACCGTCGTGGGAGTAGATGCACCGCCGTGGTGCATCCGGTGGCATCTCGAATCCAATTCACAACAATCCCCTCGGATTTTCTGATATTAGATCTAAAACCAAGAAAAATAAAAACTTAAAGAAAGCGTTTAGAGTGAAAATCAGGCAACATACCTTAGGTTCATGGTCGCCGATGCACGCAATTCATTTTGCTCCGCTGCTTCAATTCCGTCTTCTTGTGTAGGTATCGTCAACTCGACGGACCAGAATGCCACCCTGTCTCGTGTTTTGCCATTTAGGGTTTTCTCATCTATTATCTTATCCTCCGTAAATTTCAAGATATGTAGGGAGACTGACTACTTTTTTCTAACCACATATATAAGTGTGAAGAAATTGAGCGTAACTTTATTTTTTACCACACTTGGTCATGTGTGGGCGGTGTGGCAAAATAAGTGCGGTAAAAAACACTTTTTCTTGTAGTGTATGGTCAACTATATTCACTTTGTTGGCTTATTTTCATTATCTATTTGGTAAAATAATATAGTTATGTCTTCTCTAGTTTTGTTGATTTTTGATGTGGTTTTTAAATATATAACTTTCATTTTTGAACTTTGTATATTTTCATATAAATTGATTTGAAAATAACTCTAGTTAAATATCGTAACGCCCAACAAGAAAATAATTTTTGGACGAGGGGAGTATGTGTTTTCTCCTATTAAACACTCAAGCAAACAAAAAAGACTAATATATAAAAATCACGAGTTACTCCTATTGTCAATTGTTTTGAGATCGGAACTTCCACAATTCTACACGTATCTTGGCTAAGATATATGAACTCACAAAAAAAGATCAAAGTCTATTTGTGCAAGAGACAACAACCCAATATAATATCGTGAAAGTAGAGCTCGTACACGGAGACCTTACCCGTACTCCAATGTAGGGTTTTAAATCTGGAGCAACTAACAACTTGGGTAAAAGATACTCCCTCCGTCCCAAAAAATCAGTTACGTTTCGAAAAACTTGCGTCCCTTAAAGTCCTTTCCATTTCTATTAAAAAACCACTTTTACCCCTTACTTTTTCATACCCTACCTATCACATCATACTTTTTTCCTAATAATCTATTCATCACATCCTACTTTTACACATCACATCAAGGGTATTTTTGGAAAGTCAACACCAAAATATCCCTCCTTTATTTTACCACTTTAGTCAAAATGTACCAATTTTTTTGGGACGGAGGGAGTACTAAATTTGAACTTGGGGATGTAGAGTCCCGCCTCTATCGCTCGGGCCAAGGAAAGGGCAATATTGAGTTTGGAAACTCATAATTCTACACAAATACTACCTCCGTCCCGGAGTATTCGTCCAGATTTGAGTTTTGGAACTGTTCATCTAAGCACTTTGACTCATCAAATTCTCTCAATGTGTAAGCCTAAATATAGTCATGTGTGATCTTGTTTGATTTGTCTTAACATATATATTATTAATATATAATTTCTATAATTTTTTAATATACAAATTACAAGATAAAATTGATTAAAAAAGTGTATTGGATGGTGTGTAAAAATGAAAGTGGACAAATACTCTAGGACGAAGGGAGTATGATGATAAGAGCACTGGAAATACTCGTGAAGCCCCGGGGCTTCAAACCAGGGCTCCAAACTCTCTCTCTGCCACGTCAGCTTTAACTTACACCAAAAATTCACTGGAAACGGGTTTGAAGCCCCGGGGATTCAAACAAGGGCTTCAAACCTTCATTTTTTACATTTTTAAATATACATCTTCTAAATTTAAATTATTAAATTTTAATTAATTTATTATTTAATTTAATCAAAATGAGATTAGTGCATTAAAAAATTACATTCATTAAAAAGAATATTACATTCATAGAAGAATACATTCTTAAAAAAGTTTCATTCATTAAAAAAATATCACATCCATAAAAAAATAACACTACAAAGAAATTACTAATTATTCGAGCAACTAAAAATATCTTCATTCAAATCCGAGTTGTAGTAACATATTGCAAACTGAAATAGTTCATCAAATAAAAAATACAGTCAATAAAAAAAGTATGTTAAATTTAATAAAAAACAAAACAAAATTACATTACTAAAAAAAATTTAAACAAAAAAATATTACATTAAACAACAGAATATAGAGTAAAAAAAATATGTTTGTGTATATTTTTCTTAAAGAGAGAGTGGGGAAGAGATTTGAAGCCCGTTAAACATTTGAAGTAGAAGAAATGAAGCTCGGATGAAGCCCCAAGGGGCGGTGTTTGCTTCCCCTTTGGCGTTAAAAGGGGTAATAACGCCCCGGGCGTTACGCCCATTACCAGTGCTCTAATATAAGAATATTGAGGATTTGAGGTTTGAAATTCCTAATTCTACATAAATGTGATTATGATTGGGGAACCGTGAGATGGGATAATATAAGAATATTGAGGATTTGAGGTTTGAGTAGTGGCCGTTCTGTTAATTCCGACCTCATAGCAAGGACCAATGAAATTCTGGAAGCAAGGCTGGTCGGCACTTCGGCTCCTGGGTGATGCATGACAGCGTGGACCAGACAATAACTCGTCGGAGAAATTGGGGAAGCGACAGGATTCCGGCTGCCGGTTATTGCCGGACTGAGACTGGAAAACAGGGAGTGACTGGTAAGTGTTCGCGCTCCTTTTTGCTTCTCAGAGGAAGATCATGGAACGGCAATCAATTACCAAGACGGGGCCAAAAGTCCAAAATGGATGGAAGATGGAAAACACGACATTTGGTTAAAATTAGAACGGTCCCCACTGTCCCCACCATTTTTAGTTCTCCCCATCCTAGTCACCGTGAGTCGTGACACGACATTGTCTTATATTTTGTCCCATTTATTTTGAGATGAAGATAGTTTAAAATAATTTGAACCCACCTAGCTAATTCAAACTCTTTACCAAATATAGATTAATGTTTTAAAATTTGGACCAGACCAACCTGACCGCTACAGATAACAACTTCGGTATTAGTTAATGATAAAACCCAATTTTTCGAAAAATTGCCTGAACTGGTTGACCAAGAGAACCAGGTCAACCAGGCCATTTTGTAGGTTTGCATAAAAATTTGTCTTTTTTTCACAACTAAAGCTGGAAAATTGGTTAGTCAGGACGTCTGGTCGAATTCAGGTTTGGTCACTTTGGGTTCAAGTTATATCGTGTTGGGTAAATTTGAGTTCAGGTTGAAAACTATATGTTCATGAACCAGTGTTATTAAGTTCGAGTCAATCCAACGTGCTTGGTATTTATTTTTAGAGTTTTTAAATTAACATTAGAGCACTGGTAATACCAGCAACGCCCCACGGCGTGAGGGGGCGTTTTACGCCCCGGCGACGTTAAACACCGCCCCCCTCCGGGCGTGATCGGGCGTGATCGCCCCTGCGTCAAAGGAATGACGCGGCGTCATTCCACTCCCCTCCCCCTCCCAAGGGCTTTATAGCCGTTGCACCCCTTTTCAAAAAAAAAAAATTATTATAAAATCAAACCCCCCCCTCACAATCTCTCACATCTTCTTCATCTTCAATCTCTTCTTCTTCCCAAATTTTAAATTTCGAAATTACCCCCTCCCAATTTTCAACATGAATCCTTTCGGCTCCGGCTTCTGTCCCGACGATCTCCCGCCCGTTGACGCCGCGATGTGGTATTACCAAGAGTTGGGCGATTGACCGCCGATATACGAGACGCAACAATCGGGGTACGTTGACCGAGATTCGGTTCCGGAGACTCAACCGGAACCGTCCGGATCGAAAAAAAGTACACGCCGGAGGAGCCACAAAGCCAAAAGCATGTTGACTGAGGCGGCACGGTCAATCCAAAAGTGGACGCCGGAGGAGGAGTGCATATTGGCGTCGGCTTGGGTTGACGTCTCCGAGCATCCTATCATTGGTAAAAAATTTATTTTTTCTAATATATTTATGTTTTTATTTATATATATTATATTTAATGGTGTCTAAAAAAATTGTGTAATACATTTTTAAAGGTACGAAGCAAACGAAGGATGCGATGTGGGATCGTATCGAGGAGAAGTTCTTCACGACGATGAAGAAGGACGGCTCCTACCGAACCCAGGACCAACTCACTTCCAAATGGAGCCACATCAACAAAAAAGTCCGAAAGTTTATGGGAGTTTACGAGGATTGCTCCCCGTCCCGGAGGAGCGGCACGAACGACGCCGATGTTCTCCGGCTTGCCAAGACCCGGTATCAAGACGACGGGAACCAAGTCAAGGTGCCAATCGATCTTTGGAGGATTTTGAGTCGTTCCCCGAAGTGGCAACAACTCAACAATCCCGACGGCGGATCGTTCCGGAAAAGATCCATCGTCGACGCCGAGGTTGAGGTCGACGAGACTATCGGTTCTACCGATCAAATCCCTTCCTTGAACGCTGCGGATTCCGATGACGAAGACCCCATTCCACGGCCGATCGGAAGAAAGAAGGCAAAATCCATTGCCTCTGGTTCGGGAGGGTCTGCCTCTGTTTCCGCTTCTCCCCGCGACGAAATCGGCCGGGCAATGATTGAACAACTTCGGGTGTTCAATCTCCAAGAACAAGAGAGGTTGAAGCTTAAAGAGAAGGAGTTGAAGCTAAAGGAGCAGGAGGCCGAGATGAAAGTCATGCAAACCGACCCCAGGACGTTGTCGGAGTTTGGACGAATTATCTACGAGCAAAGAATGAGAGAGATCAAGGAGAAATATAATTTACCTTGGTTTTTTTTATTAATGTATCTTTTTTTAAATTATTGTCGCTTTTTTATTTAATTAATATATTTTTTTATTATTCATGTTTCAATTTAATTAAATAATAAATTAATTACATTTTATTAATTTAATTTTAGAAGATGTATATTTAAAAATGTAAAAAATGAAGGTTTGAAACCCCAGTTTGAAGCCCCGGGGCTTCAAACCATTTCCAGTGAATTTTGGGTGTAAGTTAAAACTGACGTGGCAGAGAGAAAGTTTGAAGCCCCGGGGCTTCAAACGTATTACCAGTGCTCTTAGAACATGCATTTTGCACTAAAAAAATACTACTACTCCGTAATAAAGTATGGAGTATCAAAATACCTTAAACCTCTTACAATATTTTATTCTGAATTTTTACTTCTTACGGAGTATTTATTTTAACAAAATATTGAATAATATAAAAAAATTAAATATGTACAATTTAAAAAAATGCAAAATAACTATGTTAAAATTTCATTTTAAAATATGTTTTGGTTCCATTGACACCGACCTCGGTATCACTAGGTTTTTGGGATGCCTATGGTGCTCCGTTTGTAAAATTGATGTTTCTAGCCCCTTACCTTTGTGAAAGTAAAAAGTTAAATATAGTCTCTAGTAAATCAAATTACGGGGGGAGGGTATTTAATCAGTTAGGAGGGGTGTATTTAATTAGGAGTCTGATGGATTTTTTTTGTATTTTAAAAGTCAGTGCGTATTCAATTGAGATTTTTAAAAATCATTTTAGGTCTGTTGGTATTCAATTAAGATTTTGAAAAATATTTCTAAATCTAATGATATTAAAAAATTGGTCGATTTTCAATGATTGTTATAAAACATGGATTGTGATGGATTTTTGTAAAATCCATCACATTTTCTCTTCCGCACGCAATGTTCATCCTTTTATTTGAATTGCTTCACAATCTAGACTATCTCATGAAATATGCAATCAAAGAAATATGGATCTATGCAGCTGGAGAGATTCGTTGTGGCGACATGATCAGTTCAATCAATGTTTGATTTCTAATTGAATAATCACAATTTGTTCCAGCCCCAATTCTGCTATGTTTGGTATTCAACTTTGCAACAAAAGTAAGATATTGGCGGCGCCGGCAAGGGATCGACAACAGTGGCGGCGAATTTGGGTGGTGACAGTGGTGGCGTCGTCTCGGTGGCGGTTGCATGGTAGCTGAGCCGGCAGAGGAAAGATACAAAAACAAAAAAAAAGGCAGCGGCGACAAGGGTTCTTGGGAGGAAGAAAGAAAAAAGGACAATAAAAAGATACGGGGTAAAAGAGAAGAAAAAGGAAAAAAGGAAAGAAAAAGAAAAAACAGTGTTAGAATTTTAAAATAATTCAAATATATGTATAGATAATCCATGGATTATAAATAATTTGCTAGAATCCTATAAAATCATATTGATAAAATATGTTAAAATCTATCTAGTTCTGCGTAAATTTAAAATAATTCATTGACTCAATAGAATTCATGAATCTTAACAATTTATCAGAATCTTTTAAAATATAGATTGAATACACCCTCCCTACGTTTTCATATAACACTCCATCCACTAGTTATATTCTCATTCTCTATTTATTGGTTAAATTTTTTGTATTTAGTGCATACCAATTTCTAATAAATCGAGTAGAAAATATATCCAAATCAAATATGCAATGTAAAGATAATTGTACAAAGAAAGTAACATAAAATTATTTAATAAGATGAATCTAATGAGTTCAAATAAGAGGACATTATTAATGTAAGCTTACGCCATATGCCACTTTTGGCTTAAAATGCATCCCAACTGTGACAAAATTGGAACACAAAAATATGGAGAGTGAGATGAATGCTTGAGAGGGAAAAATTCCTAATTTGTGGGATGCTAAGAAAAAAGGCCACACATAAAAGAAGACATGAAGAGGGAAAGTGTAAAGAGAAATTGATGAGAATTTTTTCCCGTCATGATTAGATGTGCTCTAAGAGATCAGAAAATCAGAGAAAGAACAACAAAATTGCTAAGAGTTCGGGGAAACAAGGAACGGTGTAGAAATTATTGGACGTGAAACTTGTGTTTTCCATTAGTCACAGGAAGTATATATACATGACGGAGTATACTAGCTACGGGCCCATAATCTAGAAAGCCCAATACATAATAAACGAATATTTACAAATATACTACGCTAACACTCCCCCTCAAGTTGGAGCATGAAAATCGTAAATGTCCAACTTGGACAATAAGTTGTGAAAAAGAGGACCAGAGAGAGCCTTTGTGAAGATGTCCGCTGTCTGAAAACGTGTAGGAACATAAGCTGTAACAATATGATTGGGCTGAAGGCATTCCCGGACTATATGACAATCAATGTCAATATGCTTCGAACGCTCATGAAATACTGGATTGACAGCAATGAACAAGGCAGACTTGTTGTCACAATATAAACGAGGAGTCGCTACACAAGGAACGACTAAGGCGGCCAAGATCCCACGCAACCAACGGATTTCGGCACAAGCATTTGCCATAGCTCGATACTCAGCCTCTGCAGAAGACCTAGAAACTGTAGTCTGCTTCTTCGTGCGCTAGGAGACTGGAGAGCCACCCAAAAGGATGAAATAACCAGTGACAGACCTGCGTATGAGCGGACAACTAGCCCAATCAGAATCAGAAAAGGCCTTGAGGGCGAGATTGCTATCACTTCGCAACAAAATGCCCTGACCAGGGTGTCCCTTGAGATAACGAAGGACACAAAGAGCCGCATTCCAATGATCAAGACGGGGAGCCTGCATAAACTGAGAAAGAGTGTGAACAGGATAACATATATCAGGACGAGTGATGGTCAGGTAAAGCAAACGGCCCACAAGACGACGATACTTAAGGGGATCCTGAATCTCAGCACTGGTGGAACGAGCGAGATTATGATTAATTGGTAATGGAGTATCGGCAGGCTTACACCCTAGGAGATTGGCCTCATCAATAATGTCAAGGGCATACTTTCGTTGATTAATGATCATACCATCGTGAGAACGAGCACATTCAATCCCCAAAAAATAAGACACAGGATCTAGATCTTTGAGATGAAAACAATCATCCAAATATTTCTTGAACGAAGTACACAAGGACCTGTTATTACCTACCACCAGAATATCATCAACATAAACAAGAACAACCAACATATCAGGGCCACGCTGAAGAACAAAGAGAGTGTGATCTGCATGGGCTTGACGAAAACCATATCGTCTAAGAGCAATACGAAGCTTGGTGAACCAATTACGAGGAGACTGACGAAGCCCATATAAAGACTTACGAAGACGGCAAACCTTCCCTGGAAAGAGCTGTGTGTAGCCCGGTGGTACTTTCATATAGACCTCCTCCCGTAAATCGCCATGTAGGAAGGCATTATTAACATCCAACTGATCAACCTGCCAACCACGAGCCACTGCAACAGACAACAAAACACGAATAGTAGCTAATTTAGCGACTGGGGCAAAAGTATCAGTATAATCAACTCCAAGCTCGTGATGATTGCCCAAAATAACAAGGCGAGCTTTGTCACGCTCCTTAGTACCATCGGAACGATATTTAGTCCTGTACACCCACTGACAACCAAGAGCACGGCGATTAGGAGGAAGATCAACCACATCCCAAGTGTGATTACGTTCCAGAGCCAAGTACTCAGTAGCCATAGCTTCCCGCCATGAAGCAAACTGAACAGCTTCACGGAAATTACGGGGAACAGTCGTGACATCAATAACTCCAAGAAAACCTTTGTACCTGTCATGCAACTTAGAATAATGAACAAAGTTAGTGATGGGAAACCGAGTACCAGATTGTGAAGAACAAGAGGAGACCGGAGCCGGAGTGTCTATCTTTGCAGAATTGAGAATATAATCGTTTAAATGAGATGGACGATGACGCGTGCGAGGCGGAAGGGGTGGAATTATAGGCGATAGAGAAGGAGTCTCCACCGGGGAAGACATGGCGCTGTCGTCGTCTGAGGATGAGGCGGGGGGACTGTCGGAAGTGGACGGAGAAGGTGACGGGGATGGAGGCAGGGGCTGGGTGGACTGCTGGGTTGGGACTGGTACGGCAGAGGGGACGGAGGACTAGGCCGACTGCTGGGTTGCCGGTACGGCAGGGGTGACGGGGTGGGGGGGACAGCAAAATCAACCGGGGAGGGTGTGAGTATGGGTTGAGGACATGACGAGGAAGTAGGAACGGCAAACGGAAAAATGGTTTCATCAAAAGATATATCCCTCGTATGGAAAAGTGTATGTGTGTTAAGATTATAAACTCTCCACCCTTTGGTACCATATGGATATCCCACAAATACACATTTGACACTTCGTGGGGAAAATTTATTTCTGAGTTTGGGAACAGGATGGACAAAACAAAGGCACCCAAAAACCCGAAGATGACTTAAGTCTTGAGGTTTAGAAGAGAGGACTTCAAGAGGAGATTTACCCCCGAGGATTTTAGTGGGAGTACGATTAATTAGGTAGACTGCCATTTTGACACACTCCCCCCAAAATTCCAGTGGAAGAGACGCTTGAAACATAAGAGATCGGGCTACATTCAATATATGACGATGCTTACGTTCTACCCGCACATTTTGTTGTGGGGTACCAACACAAGACGTTTGAATACACACACCCAAGCTGTCATAATATTGACGGAAAGAGGAGTTTAGAAACTCAGTACCATTATCAGAACGAACAATTTTTATTATTTTGGAGAATTGGGTGTGGATCATAGTGAAAAAACGTTGCAAACAAGAGGTGACCTCTCTTTTTGATTAGATCAAATAAACCCAGACAGCCCGAGAAAAATCATCAACAATTGTCAGAAAATAATGTGCCCCAGCCGAAATACAAGGTGAATAAGGTCCCCACAGATCATAATGAATTAAATCAAAAATGGCATCAGCTTTATTGTCACTAATACGAAACGGGGAATGAGTTTGTTTAGACAAAAAACAAATGCCACAAGTCTGTAATTTTTGGACAACAGATTGTGTTTTATTGGTACCAAGAAAAGAGAAAACATCCGCGGAGGGGTTGCCCAGCCGTTGATGCAGAACAAACGGATCGATATTGGCTTCGAGGGCTGACACAGGAACTAAGGCAAAGACATACACACCATTTCGCAAGTCACCCTGTCCAATCACCATCTTCGACGAACGGTCCTGTATCACACAACGATGATCATTAATAGTTACATAACAAGTATTATCACGAATTAAACATCCCACAGAAATCAAATGACAGTGTAAGTTTGGTACGTATAACACGTTACGTAGTACCAAATGAGAAGACAAATGCACACTTCCCTGTTTGACAGCCTGAACTCGTGACCCATCAGGGAGACAGATGGAATGAGGAGAAACATCCTCAACATTAAATAAGTGTGCAAGAGATCCTGTCATGTGATGTGAAGCTCCACTATCAATTAACCATTCACAAAATGTAGAAGTCATACCATTCATTTGATTGGACGAAGAAGAATCAATCACAAACATTAACCAAACCATTTTATCCCCACTCAATTTGGATGCCATGGTATGGGATTTTTTTTAGGGTTCGGCGAGGGCAAAACCTGTAAAGTTTTGTCAAATTGACGGACAAAACCTAGTTGAAACCAAAATTGACGGACAAAACTCTGTCGACAAAGCATCTGGACGAGCTTTGGACGGCCTTTGCTGGGACAGATGTGCTTGGAGAAATTCTGCGATGACCTGAAGTGCTGGCGGCATTGGACGGACGACGCCGGACGGATGAATCTACTGGAAGAGCAGATCTGCTTGGACAAAACTACGGAATCTGGACGGACGGGATCTTCTGCCGGACGGGAGGAAACCTCTGCGATGACCAGAAATGCAGGACGGACGGGACGGGCAGAGCTTGCAGAGGAAGAAGGACGGCGTTGTGATTGACGACCGACGAGGGATGGCAGCGGAGGAGGAGGGCCGACGGACTGAGGAGTAGGGCCGACGAGCTCTGGCTCCGACGCACCTACAACGAACAGCACCGCCGAGAGAGATAGACGGGCGGCGCACCAACGACACGAGAGCAGGGGTTTAGAGACTAACCCTTGGATCGCTCTGATACCATGTAGAAATTATTGGACGTGAAACTTGTGTTTTCCATTAGTCACAGGAAGTATATATACATCACGGAGTATACTAGCTACGGGCCCATAATTTAGAAAGCCCAATACATAATAAACGAATATTTACAAATATACTACGCTAACAGACGGAGTATAGGTGAAATCCTTTGAAATCTATCGTTGTGAGATGCGATTTCAATTAGTGAAAGGAATCTAAACATATTTTTAGGAGAGAATCCAATAAATTCTATAGACTATTGAATACTACCTCCGTCCCATTGTCTTTGTCCACATTTGACTTTTGGAAC